CAGTAAGTGAAAACACTAATTCAAAGTAAGAAACAATAGTTAAATAAGTTGGGGAGTGACAAGTTAGAACTCAGTGAAGTAGAGACAGCACAAGGCAAGTTTTACCCAGAAGTCTGAAATAATCAAATTCAGTAAGGGAGAGAGCTAAAAAAGCCCAAACTCAGCAAACAGTGGGTTCTAGATACCCAAACTTGGAAGTGGGGAGCTGCAGTTGGCATGGAATAAACAGCAGGTATCTGGACTTGGCCAAGAGACAAGTACATCTGCACACGCATTTTATCCAGTCTCAGTTTACTCTGGAGGACAGAGTAACAACTGTCTCTGACCAAAACAGTTCTCAGCCCCTGCCCTCCACACCAGGCAGGGGCTGAGAATCTTGTTCCCTGCTCAGCTCCTCAAGTGCAGAGCTCAGCATGGAACAAGCTCCCTGGGCCTGTCACCCCTCCCCCTCTCCTTCCCCACTGCCCAACTCCACACTCAAGGAGCTTGGCAGGCAGGGAACAGTCTCCCCTAGAGCTCCCAGTGCAAGCTCTGTAACTGCAGGGCTTGGGCTGAGAGATGCTTATCTCCCAGAGCCAGCTTTGCAACCATGGGGCTCGTACTGGAAGACCCTTAACAAGATATTGAAAAAAAAAATGATGTCCTTTAAAGAAAACAGGAAGGTACACAAGAGTCACAGAGATGGACATAAGAACCTAGAAGAGAGAAAAAGAAAAATATAGAAAAGGGTATCTTTACATTGGGCACATCTACATGTGCAGTTAATATTACTTAGACTTACTGGGCACTTCTACAAGAGAGACAACATCACCACAGCAATGAGCTACTATGCCATAGCTTATTGATATGGCGACATAGTGTCACTGGGCACGAACTGTGATTGCAACACTACTGCTTAGTAGTAATGAGCCACTGCACAGTACCTAATTAGAGCTAAAAATAACTGTATAGCAACAGGACTGTGCAGTAACAGCTGTTACTGCACAAATATTTAGTACTTAAACAAATACTGAATGCCTGTGCAGTAACAACTCCACTGTCCATCACTCATATAGATGTGGCCACTGTGCAGTAAGTTACTGTGCAGTAAGTCAGCCCTGGGGACACATCTACACATGCACCCTATGGGCATGTCTACATATGCATTTGATCTGGGATCAATTTACTTGCTAGAAAAATACTCATGAGTAAATGCTCCTGTGCATGTGCCTACACATGGAGGAATGTGGGAGAAAATTTACTGCTAATGCCAGAAAAATGCTTCTACTTCCTGGGGCCCAGAAATGGGCCCCTGCCACACCCAGGGGAACTCTAGCCCTCCCCCCACCCCAGGTTCTAGTCCAGAGGCTGGCAGGGAGCACTGAGCCAAGAGACAGCAGTCTCCTGGTCAGGGCTCGGACATTGCTCCCTGCCTGCTGCCAGGGTAGGAACAATGACCTGCTGCCCTGGCATTGAGGAGCTCCAGGCCCTGGGTCTGCCCTGGCATTGAGGAGCTCCTGGCCCTGGCTCTCTGATCAGGGGCAGATGACTTGGAAAGAGCTGCAAGGGAGGGGCAGATTCCAGCTCCCTGCCCCATCCACTGGTAAGGCAGCTAGCTCACTGCTAGTTGTCCCACCAGCGGATTGGGGTGTTGCCCTGTGGGATGGAGCCAATGTTCAGGTTCTCAATATTGTGCTGTTAGACAGGAGGGCATGGTGAACAAATTGCATATACACACACAACAACAAACAATAGGGCACGCACACACACCCTAGGTGCATATACCTCCACCAGGGATGTACACACACACTACCAACTCAGGCACATACACATCCAAAATTACCAGCCTAGGCACATGCACACCTATCACCAATTCAAGCACCTACACACTATACACACCAAAAGTTAGACAAAAATCAATTGTCAATACCCGCACACCCAGTACACATACACGAATCACTAATTCATATATAACACACACACTGACATATCTATCTAGATGGATATGTATATTCACTAGTTCACACACATACCACCCAACTACACATACACACAGGTGAGTTCCTAACTTGGATGCTATAGTATGTATGCGTGTGTTTGGGGTACTTGACCTACCTAGGGGAAGGTTAAGGTGAGAGAGTGAAAGTGTAAGGAATGAAAGTTGCTGGGAGTGAAAGTGCTGGAATCGGGATTAGAACTGGTAGACTAGAGAGAAACTGGCTGAGGAACTGAGGCTTGGGGTTACTTTAGGTTATTTGATGTTAATTGATTAAAGGACAATGCCAAAAGCCTGCAGAGCAGGGGAGCCATGCCAGATAGGAACCAACACACAGGCTGGGACTAGAGCTGGAGCTGCAGGGGAGCCAAAAGGTAGGTGAGGAGAGGGAAACTGGGACTGGGGGGAACTGGAGGGCTAAGGGGGAACTGGAAGCTGGCTCAGGGAACTGTAGGTGCTGGAGAGGGACTCCAGGGAAGCTCAAGAAACTATGAGGGAGGGGCTGCTGGTGCCAGGAGCTGAAGAAAGGGATGCAGCTGTTGAAGACTGCAGATCCTGGAGAGGGGACTCTGGGCAGATCAGTAAGCTGGGAGGAGGGGCTCTGAGTGCCGGGAGCCAGACAAGGGCTCTGGCTGCCGGCGGGGACTGCGGGGGCTCCAGGGGGCAGCTGGAGAGGCTGCAGGGAGTCGCGACAGGTGCTGCGAGCCAGAGAAGGGCTCTGGGCAGATCTGTAAGCGGGGAGGGGGGGCTCCGGGTGGCAGAGACAGAAAGCTAGGAACAGAGAGAGATTGCAGAGGCAGCAGAGCATGTCCATGGGATGCCTCTGCCAGGGACTGCAGGAAAGTACACCATGACATCCAGGGAGCAAGGCCAGTCCAATGCACTGTAACAACAGTGCATTGGGGCAGACTTGTTAACTTGAGTCTGCTAGATCATGGTAATTACCACGCTCCACCTAGCTTCCATTTCTTATGTATCAGTGTCTCCACATTTGAAAATGGAGATGGGTGGAAACGAGGGGCTATCACCAAACAGGAATATACCTCCACCGCTTGGGTCTGTAGTGGGGCTGTTAGAAAAGCTAAGGCAGATAGGGAGCTAGGGCTAGCGTCAAGGATCAAAGATAATAAAATGTCCTTTTTTAAATATATAGGGAGAATGAAGAAGGCACTATGTGCCTCAGTGCAGGATAAGCTTGGCAATCTGGTGGTTGAACCAGAGGAGAAAGCAGACCACTTTAACAAATTATTCACCTCCATTTTCCTGTGCAGGAACTGGGACTCCCCAACCAGGATTCCAGATGGACTCAGGAGAAATGCTGCCAGGCCTAAGGTTGGGGAGGACCAGGTTAGAGAGCTTCTGGAGGGGCTGGACATGTTCAAATCAGCAGGTCCAGATGCTCTCCACCCCAAGGAGTTGAGGGAATTGGCAGGGGTTATTGTGGGGCCCTGGCATGGCTTTACGAGCACTCGTGGTGTTCTGGCCAGGTGCCAGATGACTGGAAGAAAGCCAATGTGGTCCCCATCTTCAAAAAAGGGAAGAGGGAGGACCCGGGCAACTATAGGCCCATTAGCCTTACTTCAGTCCTGGGGAAACTCTTTGAGAAGATCATCACGGAGCACATCTGTGATGGGCGAGCAGCAGGGATGATGTTCAAGGGCAACTAGCACAGTTTCATTAGGGGCAGGTCCTGTCAGACCAACCTGACTGCCTTCTATGATCAGGTCACAAGATTATTGGATGCAGGTGTCATGGAGGATGTAGTCTTTCTGGACTTCAGCAAGGCCTTTGACACTGTCTCCCACCCCATTCTCATCAAAAAACTAGGTGACTGTGGCATTGATGTGTACACAGTCAGATGGATTGAAAATTGGCTGAAGGGTCATACTCAAAAAGTAGTGGTGGACGGGTCTTTTTCGACCTGGAGGGAAGTGGGCAGTGGAGTCCCCCAGGGCTCGGTCCTTGAGCCCGCACTGTTTAATTTCTTTATTGGTGACTTGGACGATAAGGTAAAAAGCAGCCTGTTTAAATTTGCTGATGATACCAAGATTTGGGGTGAGGTGGGCACGCTAGTAGGGAAGGACAGATTACAGCAGGACGATGATCTGTAGATAAAGCGTCGCCCCCTCCCCCCCAACACACACCATTTTGCAGTTCAGGGATGCTGATATATGGCTGCAGCACTTTAATTACAGCAGCTCTCAGACCTGACCTAATTAAAGCACTCCCCCCCCGCCCCCCTCCACCCCCACACACACTCCCAGAGTACGTGTAAAAATTCCATGTATTTTCAGGTACTAGAAAAATGTGCATTAGCTATTTAATGTACATTAAAGCAGTGCACAGTTTTGTTGTGATGCTTTAATGCACATTAAAGCATCTTGTGTAGACGTGTCCAACGCTTACTAAACTTACATTAAAGTTCCTGAAAATTGCATCCCTTTTACCATCTTGGGGTCAAATGAAAGTTGGAAGTCTGAGTTTGGGTCAAGACCGTTTCTATAGTTCGGCCTGTTCTCTCAGGTGTTTTCTCACCATTACACTGCAGATGCCAAATAACACATCCTCTCTCCAAGTTTGCGGTATCCTAGAGGGAGTCCACTAACTATATCATTCCTGTGGTTTAATTTCCATTGCTCTCCCCAATTATCCCCAGGGATCTTCCAAGTTCACCTCAGGTGAGAATCAACAACACTGGAGCAGACTTTCAAAATATTTTTAATAAGAGAACAATATATTTTTTTCTGTGCAGAATTGTTAGGAATAATAAAGCAGAGATTTTTCACACAGTCTGACTGATGGGCAGTTACAAGGGAAAACAGAATCGCTTACTCAGTCACACACTGAGTTACAAAAACCCCCCTGAAAAATTATAAAACTTAAAATGTTACAGAAACCTGAAATGAAATAGGGGAGTGAAGTGCCCCCTCAAAAGATATTACTGCTGAGGACACTATCACCTATTTTATTGAGAAGGAGTCTAATCATGGGGTACTGAAGTCCTCAAAGGACATTTGATCTATGCTCAGCCACTGAAAGTCCTAGAGCCAGCATCAACATCATCATAGCCTGTGTCTTCATTAGGCAGGAATGGGTCATCTCTATCAGTCCCTATACTTAGCGAGTGTAGATTCCAACCTGAAAAAAATCAAGAATAACAGCTACAATAAACATCCTAGTATGCATCCATGGACACTTGGGTGTGTGGTTCATGGTACAGGCAGCCCATTCTCCTTTATGTCTTAAGTGGGCCTGGACAAATGCTCATGTACCTATCAAAGTTGTGAGTGACCTGCACTTTAGCTTCCTTTTTAATCCCTCTTCAACTCACCCCTGCTTCCAGGACTCTTTATGCTAGTAGTCTACAGGAGGATTCACCCAGATGGGGACAGAGAAAGACAGATGCTAGGACCGAGATGCTGCCTCTGCTTCTCCTGGTGGTAGCAGGGAAGTGCAACAGCAGCTGGTATTTCTCTGCCCCCTTCCCCCCTGTGGCAGCAGGGCCAAGTGACTGTTACTAAAGCCCCTGTCACTGAATGCTGCTAAAGCCCCATGTGCATGGCTTGGATCAAATGGCTCTGTGGGCTGGATCAAATAGCTCCCATGGACCATAGGATGCTGACCCCTGCTTTGTGCAAATTGCATTACACAGCCCTTGAAAGGAAAATGGAAACAACCTTACAGCAGGGGTCAGAAGCCAGGTACCCCCCTCTCAAGAAGTGATGTACCTAATAGGCTACAGGCAGGCTCCTTCTTACTTGCATACCTTTCAGCTCCGTGACTCTCGGTCTTGGCTGACAATGATCCAGCTCCAACAGCAGAGATGGAGTCCCCCCCATTCTGTTTGTTTCATGTAGTGGGAGTCGGGACACTCTCATGGGAAATGGGGCATGTGGGCTCAAACACCCTCAGGCTGAGGTGAGCTGAAACCCAGGTCTTTTCTTCCTGGGGCCATGCTCCAGCCACAAGGTTGTTAGGCAAATGGTAGGCACCGCCACTACTGGTCAGCTAGGCACCTACCTTCAGAAGCAGTATTAGGTGCAGTGGATCATAAATACACACAAACACCTAGGCTTACATCACCTTTATATAGATAAATAACTACTACGCAGCTGATTTCAATAATTTAAATGGCATTTTGGGCCACCTCCATGACTTTTTGCTGCCTAAACATGTACTCAGGGGTTGGGGGGGGTTGCTGTACATTTTAATTAGAGCAGTTCTTGGACAGATACCCTAATAAAAACACCTCACTGTCATGTTTACTAAGCCCCCAAGCATTTTACACTGCCTGTGTGGGATGCTTCATCTATAGCACATTTGATTAGGTTTAGATAAAGCACTCCAGGGGCACGTGAAATGTGCAGTGGGTTAATTCATGGGATAGTGAGGCAGTGCCCATAGCAAGGGGCGGGAGTGGGGTAAATAGGGCAACCGCTCCAAGCGCCAAAGCAAAGGGGGACCAACAGGTGCTGCCCAGCTGGGACATGGCACAGGACAGAGCCATGAATGACTCATTTGGGGAGGTGTGAGGATGGGAGGAGGTCATCTCCTGCCGCTACGTGCACTCCCAGGCAAGCATGGAAGGGTGTGCCCCTCAGATCTGGGTGAAAGCAGGCTGCCACTGCGGGCTTTGCTCCAGGCATCAAATATCCTTGTCATGGTACTGTAGCGAGGCAGAGAAGGCTCAATTCATTACAGCTGCTCTGAAATATTCAAATTAGAACGTGAATGGGCATATCTATAGGCAGCCTATGTTCTCTATGGAAGGAAAAGGGCAGTCCTCCCCCTTTACAACTCAACAGCTTGGCAAGCAGGGAACTTGCTGAGGGGGTGAGCATGTGCTGAGCCTGGTTCCAGGCCCACTTTACCAAATGCATATTTGAACTGCATCCTCTCACTTCTCAGCAAAGGGTCTTGACCACAAGCCATAGGCTATGTAAAGCAAGGGAAGCCTTCTCTGCTCCTGACAAACCTAGTAACAAAGTGGTCAAAATATGTGGGGTCAAAAGGTCAGCAAGCCAGAGGGACTTGAGCTCAGTTGTATGCAGTGTAGGAAAGGAGGGCACTATGATCTGGACCATGCTCCTGGCTCTGGTAGTGTTTCTGCATTGCGAATTTAATATTAACTGGGTAAACTGGATGGACATCAGGGGTGGGTTTTTTTTTTTTGGGGGGGGGGGGGGTTTGGTTTTTTTTGACTGCACCCCCTGCATTGCTCATCATTTTTGTTTGTTTGTTTGTTTCCCCCCTGAGGCTAACATTTCTGGGCCTTACACACGCTTCCCAGGTGGAAGAGGACCACAATAGAGTGCACATGGTCAGAGGAGAGTTATGCAGGATGGTAGAACATAAATCCATGTAAATTCTACTTGCCCACCTAAAGGTGAGTGGGATTTGGGTCCTAATGTGCAGCCTGAGTCAGTAGCCTATGCTCCTGAGCAGGGTAGGTGGTCAAACACACCCCTGTACTTAAGGCTCCCTATCTTTATACCTGTGTATTTCTGTCCTTTCTGGACTTACGGTTGGAATCACCTCTCCCTCTCTTTTCCCTGCACAGAAGGTCCAGACACTTAACCCCAGACCAAGTGTCTTGTGTTCCTGGCCAAGGTGCCAAGATTTAAAGTGAAGGGGCATTTTCTAGACTGACCTTCATGCTGCAAGTGATTCACCGTGGCACGCAAGTGAGGGCTTCCCACCCAGGAGGCCACTCTCCCACCTGCAGCAGGATGACTCATGCTCACTTTCCTTTGGCTTGACTGGCCACCAGGTCCTGGGCTCACAGTGGTCCACAGTACAGGGGGCACATCTACATGTATTATTAAGGCAAAGCAATAAACTTTGACACTACTTTTGCACCAGAGTTTGCACCAGAGTTTGTTGCTCCCACGTGCTGCATTTACATGTGTACCCAAGACCGCAGCATACTGAGTCAGGTTGGAGCAGCCCCTGCTGCCAGAGGGCCCAGTGAGGTTAGTCTGCCAGCTCATTGCTACTGTGCAGATGTGGGGGCATCACAGTTCATGCCCGCTATCACCACATTGCCATAGCAATGAGCTACGTTGGTGTAGTTCATCACTACAGTGACGTAGCGTCTTGTGTAGATACACCCAATGACTTCTAGTGGCCAGTGAAAATCCACCTGGGACAGCTCTTCCCCATTAGACTGAAGAAAACAAGCCAGTGCTCCCCTGTGAACTTTCAGTCTCAAACATGACTCGGTAGAACCAGGGAGAGCAGTTTGGTTTCAACAGAGCTGTACTCTTGCTTTCTTGACCCATGTGTTCCTGTAGGTCACTCTGAGATGCAGACATCTCTGATGTCATGAATCTCCAGGCTTAAAATATACTTAAAATCAGAAGGCCTACTTTAAATTTATCGGATTTAGAAAAAGAAAGAAAATAGCGTATTTTCTTGCATAACTCTCAAGTATTTTCCTCCAAAAAAGACCTGTTGGTAACTGCAGCGTGCAAAACAGAAAAGAAACATAGTAAGGGCAGTTTCTGCTGGTTACTGGGCAGAACCAAAACTAAAGCCTGCATGACACTAAGTGGGAGTAGAAGAATGAGTCTGCTCTACTCTTTAGCTTCTGTGACTCACTTATTTAGTAAAAGGAGAGATCTTTTTTCTCCATACTGCCTTTCAAGAACAAGGTTCATATTTTATTCTGAGGCGTGCTGTATGTGAAATAATACAATATTTTGCCTCTGGCTCCCAGGTGTTTATGTTCAGCTTGGTTCATGCTTTTAAGTTCCTTTCTGCAAGAATCAAGGCCAGAAAACTTGCTGAGGCTTTCTTTTGTTTTGCTTTGTTTTGAGGGAAGGGGTTGGTTTTTCCTTTATTTTATTTATTTATTTATTTTTTAAGAAAAGAAGAATTCCTCATGTAAACATGTGCCTCCAAAAGCTGGAGCTTTCCGAAAAATACCAACCAGTGAGAGCCTGGTGATAACAAGTACAAGAATTGTGAACATCGTGTTTCCTCTCACCTTTCTGGGATCCTCTATACTTATCACTTTCCTGTGAATTTGTGATTACTGCCTGATCACTCTGGCTGGAAACAGGATAATATTCAGGGGTGGAAATTTCCCCAGCATCATCATAACCTTCTTCTGGAACTGCTTCAGTCAAGGATAGAGCCTCTGAAACAGAGAAGGGAATTATTTCAAATGAATAGATTTTTTCTACTTGTAAGAGAAAAAAAAAAAACCCTGCAAGGGACAACCAAGGTAATAAGAGACTAAAATTTCACTTGCTGTCCCAAGCTGTGCCTCGCCACATTCATCTGATACATTTGAAACAGCTGGTGTGTCTATACAGTTATGTAAAGAGCCACAAGTAGAATCTCAGCTGGTAGTTTGGGCCAGCTGGGGAAGATGTGGAATGAGATAACCATTGGTGTGTTCCATTTGGGAGGAGTATATCTCCAGTCGGGGTGGATGTAGGATTTTGAAAAGGAGGATGTAGATGTTGTGGTTCATCACAATATATAACACAACATACATTTTTATGCAAGTATTAAAAAAAGAAACATTACTAATGTGCTAGGGGCCAGGGACTAGGTTATTCAGTTCAAGATCAAAGTCAAAAGAAATGTCACCTTATTGGAATGTGCATTAATTTGTCATATCATACATTATGTATAAAAACACAATGTATTAGGCAAAATAATTAAAAGATGATGTTTCTTTAGTACTTTTGTCATTAGAATTAAATTTACATCTCTTTCAGATTTACAAAACAAAATCTAGCCTTCTTACACATCTTGGCAGTGCATCCAATGTTTCACTGAAACATATATATATTTTTCATATATATATTCATCTATACCTGAATTGATGGTCAACCTAGTTAATGTTTTTAGATCTGAATGGTTTGGCTACAGTTAAAAAAGTCTGCAGGGATGTGAATTAGGAGCTATATGAAGAGGAGCAGCTACCAGGTAGCAGAACTGCAGAAAAAAGGGATAGTTTGATTAGTGGAGTATCAAGACTGTTAAAAAAAGGAGAGAGTGTGATTAAATACTATGGAATTAAGAGTTTACGAGGAATAAGGTATATTATAATGATCCATGAATTCAACTGATTCCCTCACTGCTGCCTGAATAGAAATGCTGCTGCCACTTTGGGTGGGTCAGGAATTAAAGCAGGGGAGAGAAGGTGGGAAGGGGTATGACTACACCCATGCACCCCATGGATCTGCCCCTGTTCCCAGTGCACTTTGTTGTTCCACCAGAGAGACAGGCATATGGCTCTAAATCACTGTTTATATAGGCCATGGACATAGGTTTGTAGGGCCAAAAACATAGAACATAGAACTCTTTGACAGGTGTACACATGTTCACAGTCTCCTAAATGGAGTGCTACAAAATCACTGCAAAGGCATGCCATTCAGCCAGAGGGGGAATAGGGAGCTGCTTCTCTTCTCCCCTCTTTTCTGGGGAGCCTGTCAATGATCCAGGTCACTCAGAGATGTGAAAGACTCAAGAGCAGAATGTCACTCCCAGCATGACAATGCTACAATTTCTTAAGTGTGCCCCTTGGGATATTTTGATTTTTTACATGTTCAGCCTTATTTCTTTGCCCTACAGCTTCTCTCCACAAGAAGCACACAGGCAGTGCCAGACCTTAGCATAGATATTCATCAAAAGGTCTTGACAAAAATCTTGGAAAGTCTCATGGTCTCTAATCCAGAACCACTCTCTCACATCTCTCTGAACTATGAAGAAGAGCAAGGGGACTCCACTGTGTTTCTAGGGAGCATCCTGGAAAGTTATATGCTGCACCAGAACATGGGTCTTCATCTCTGCCCCCCTCCATCTCTGTTACCTTTTACTGATCCAGGGTCATTTCCTTCCTCACTATCCCCAGTGTAATACTGCAGCTTTGTCACAGAGTCCTCTGAGTAGGAGACTGGAGAGATGAGAAACAACATGTTATCCACGTGACAACTGATGAACTGATTAGTGGTTTCAGCAGGACTTCCGGCCTCAGGAGCTCCATTCAGAAAACAGCGAAGACATGAAGATTCTGGATTATGACTAACAATTGCGGACACATTTCACTGTGGCTCAAAGAATTACATTTGCTGTACTGTTTGAATCCATGTTTCAAATTCCCTTTGCCTAGTCTCAAGGACAGCCACTCTCCTGACCCAGACTTGGGTACACTTCAAGGCTGCAGCATGAGTAAAGGGAGAGGATCTATACAAAGAACTGTAACTAGAAGAATCTGGTGGTGATGAAGCTCATTTATGAGCATTTACTACCTGGCTGCTCTCACTCCAAATCTTGTGTTTCCAAGAGTTATGGGGCTGAAGGCTAGAGAGAGTTAGACATGTGTCAGGGTAAAAAAGTGCCTTTGATATCTGCTCCCTGTTAGGAAAGGGACACACAGACCTGAACGACCAAGCATTTCAAGTTTCTTTCTCATCTGGTTATACTCAATCTCCTCATACACGGCCTCAGAGAAGGGGTCGGAGTATCTTCTAGACACTGAAAACGAAGTGGAGGGTTCAGACAGGTTCATAGAAACAAGAGACAGAAAATCCTCATAGATCATCCAGTCCTTCTCTTAAATGCCAGGCAAGAGTGGTCCCTACAGCACAGTTATTTTGCTTTCTTCAGGCTAGGTATAAATGTGCCAGGTGAGGAGATCAAGGTCCCATCCAACAATTTCCCTGTGAGGATGGTTCCATGGGGAATTTCACTGTCACAAAGTCCCTTTGCAAATTCAGCTTAAAATGTCCCTTTTCACTTTCCTGTCATGACCCTTGTTGACAGCCCTGAGACCACCCACCCTGGCATTCGCATCCACCCCTTAAAGGGGGATTATAACATCTCTGTCGCCCAGGTGTTTGTAACTAATAGCTCAAACCCAATTCCACATTTTAATAGATAAGTAGCAAGTAAACAGTAGCAGTTAAATTCAGCCACGGCAGTGCCATTTCAGGACTCGTGTATGTGGGGAAAGAACACAATGAAATATGGTTTGCTAGCTTAGTGCTTAGGGCACTTGACCAGGGAGTGGGTGACTGAGGCTTCCATCATCCAGAGAGAGTGCAAACATATATCTGCTGTCTAGCAAATACCCTTATTCCTGGCTATAGGTGAGGTAGAGTTGGGAGTATCCCCTGCCCGGCTCGCCATGTCAGAAGCTGGCTTACTGAGCAGCTACAAAAACGAGGAGGAAGATGTGGTATGTTGGGATAGAAAATGAGGCCAGTGCTTGAGTAAATACTGGTATACAAAGAGGGGGGACGGGGTTACTCCAGAATCCTGCCTAGACTGGCAAGGGAGGCAGAAGTTACTTTACTTCAGTCTGTTCAAATTGCCCCATACAAAAATAGCAGTGGGTCAGGAGCAGAGCCCAGGGCCCATTTCCTCCCAAAGCAGTACCCTGCCCCTCATCCTACATATGCTGCTCACTGCGTCCTGAACCAAACAGCTTTTTCAATTGTGCTTCCAAACAAGTAAGCTTTAAAGGGAGGGATGGAGGGTGCACTGGGTGCTGCACAGCCTGTTGTGTGGTGGTTAGAAGCCCTGGCTGGGAAGTGGGAGATACAGGTTCAAACCCTCGTTGGCTATGGGTGCAGAGTAGGGGGTAGGACCTTGGTTTCTTGTTCCCCGGGCATGTGCCCTAGTGCTAAGCCTTCAGGCAAAATAGTAGGAGGATCTTCTTTGTGTCTAGTGTCAAACAGTCACTGCTTCTCATTTTCCCATGGGGAAAAAAATATCAGGGATTGCACAGTTTGCCACAAAAGCCTGAGTGTAACATGATTCAGACAGAGTGTATGTGGCTGGAGATGTCCTTTTGAGCATGCTCAGGGAGGAAAGGGCACTGGGAAGAGGGTTTACAATTTGCAATGGTGTCCCAAAAAGAAACTTACCCACCTAAAGATAGCCATGTAAATGCTATCTAACCATGTAAAGCGGGGCTGAAATCTGGTGCAGGCAGCTGCAGTATTTCGTAGATATAAAACCCTATGTAAATGCCAGCAATAAGCCACCATCACCCTATCCTTCTCTCCAGCACATTTTCTTCCTAGCATGCTTCTTTCCAATTAATATCTTTTTTTCCCATGTTTTCATCCATTCTCTTATACCTTTACACCATATTTGCCAATCACCCTGGGTCCCTTTCCTCTGTTTCTCTCCTTAATGACACAGGCAATTTGTCTCTGTTCAGAAGCAGTCCCAAGTTTTACTGTTAGGATCTTTGTTTGGTAAACAGTCACTGAAGTGTTAAAAGCAACCAGAGCTAACATGCACCCTAAATGCTTCTGCCCCAGCTCTGTTCGTGTCTCCCACCCTACCACCATACAGCTCCCCCTGCAATTTCAAAGAGCCCTTTCTACACACTTTGACCAGTGGGGACTCACCTCTGTGCAGTGCCCTGGCGCTTCGCACCTGCCCCCCCAGAATGATTAAGACCAGGCACAGAACAGCTCCCAGGACAATGCAGATGACAATGAGCACCATGTCTCTCCTACCATCAGCTGGAGGTTGGCGGCGGGGGAGAACTGGATAGAAATAGACATGAAACAGGAAGAGACTATTCTGTGAGAGTCAGAGCTCCTCCATCACTTCTGGCAGTGACTATGGCAGCAGGGCCACATGGCAGAACACAGGTAGTTTTTCATGGGGGCAGCTCAGGCACTGCTGTATGTCTTGGGCCTTGCCCACTTAGCTAGAAGCCACTGGACAGGAATGGCTCCTGCTAAGTAGTCCCTGAAGCTCCTGTCCCAGGTGCCTCTTTCAGTAGACTCTTCACTCCAGGTACAGGTGCTCATTCTCTCAGGCTGGAGGCTACAGCTTATCGCCCTGGGAAATCAGCACCTGAAAAATATAACCCTCAGTGGGAGGCAGAGGGTGTGCTTTACCTGTTCTCAGTGGTGATGCTGTTGTCTGTGTCACACCTGGGAAGAGCAAGAAAGGGAGAGCTGGAGTCTGGAGTAAGGAGGTGGCATGTCTCTTACTAAAGCAAAGTTCCCCTCTGGGAGTAGGTCTGCACTGTGCTACTGGTGGTCCCTGGGAGGGCTGTTCCTGAGACCAGTGCACCCACTTACTCCCACTTGCATGCACCATCCCCCAGCATGAGATAGTAGATTCATTCCAGAGATGTCTATTGTGTCTCTCTTGAGCTCTCAGTCTCTGGGGCACACAGGACTAGTCGCAACAGGTTCCTTGTGGCACTTCCAGGTATGGAGTATATGTACGTGAGCAATGTGGAGGGACTTGCTTAAGAGATGCCTTCTCCAGGACTGCGGGTGGCACAATGTAAGCATATCTTAAGAGTCCCTGTGTGTTTGCATCCCTAACAGTTCTTCCAAGGATCAATTCTCTCTCCTAGCAGAGTTGGGTCTATACTGCAGTAGTTTACAGTGGCTTGGTGTTATTTTCTGGATGCTTAAATGAACAGAGTTCATTCTCTTCATGCTACTTATACACAGGTTGGCATTCTATTCCTGCATGCATGACCTGGAGCTGTGAATCCCACTCCCCCATGCAACAACATGCTCCCATTGCCGAAGAATGTGTGTATCGAGAATCAAGCTCCTCAGTCACCTGAGGACGCATCAAGCCTGACGGATGTCATCCTTGACTCCAAGGGACTGCTGCTGCTGATGCATAACCCAATGCACCTTGATGGCTCTGTATATATCCAGACTGGTAATAAACTCTGGTGGCAGTAAGGGACAGAGACCTGCCATAT